TAAGGCATTAAAGCGTCACTCTCACTACTTTTGGATCACCCTAAGTATATCCGCTTAATGTAGCGTGTGGGTGTGGGTGTGAGTATCAGTTTTCTCTGCACCCACATCCACACCCAGATCCACATTTTACATATTAACAATAGTTGCATAAGATTGAGTCATCTGAATCAGCAAATAAGAAGAAAGGGAACAGAGGAGGACTATTATTTAGGTCTGTATTTATGTTATACATTAGTACGATAATAAAAAGAAGGCAAATATTAAAGTTGTAAAAAAAAGGAGGGGAGAAAAACTTTTGTCCACAGATGTATATCACATTGTATCGTATTTTTTTCCGAAATGAAGGTCACTACAAAAATCAGTACTATTTATATCACTCAGATGCTTTCTTACGGCGCTCGTATACAGCGTCTTTGCGGCCAAGTCCAGATGATGGTGTATAGCCTCATTTTCGTCGTATATACATCATATTCTCACCGTATATGGTCACAATGTAAACATCTGTAAAAATAACAAAACTTATGGAAAAATTTTCATTACGTTATGACAAATTTTTAAATGTTTTTGTCACACCAAAACAGAAAATGCTCTAGAGAACTGATCGTTGAACAGTCGTTCGATCTTAACGATCTTTTCAATATGATGTTAATCATACTAAGTTTATAGATGTTCACGACATTAGATACTTATGAATCAATGATCATGGAGAGAAACAGTATGAATATAATGTAATAAACGGTGCTGAATTGATTTTTAATGCATTTTGATTGATTCGAACTCGTCAATGAGATTTAAGAAAATAGACAGACAGTGACAAAAAAGCTCTTCATGAGATGCAATCACATAGGAAGCAAGCAAGAAGGAAGAAAAATGCAATATTACGTTTCTTCAATAGTCCTTTGTTTACCTATTTTATCATCACATTTTCACTTGCTGTACAGACACGAACGAAAGAAAAAAAAACCGATGACACCAATAATAAAAATTGCCTTGTGTTTGTTTTTATTTCATTGATTCCTTCGTTATTTCGTTATTAATGTACTTTTTTGTTGATCTATCTTGTCTGTCATGGTTGCATTTTCAAAAGAAACTCAAAAGAATTATGCAGTCAACGTAACGATTAATGTTTATTATTCGCGGAATAAACTTCTGTGTCTGTGCATAGAGACATCAAGCATGCAATACAATAATGGTGGTTTTTTTTCTTACTTTTGAATTAAGAAAGAAAGATTCGTGTCTTCAGTATCTCCAGCGATTTTAGTTAAACAAATACCAGCGATTTTTTTTTCATTATTTGTCAATTGTATGCAAATATATATGAATCTCTTTCACATACATGCAAGCAAAAAAAAATAGTTAACAATTAAATAAGATCTGTATATAACAATGCATTTTTCAGATGAGGAGTCTAGTAATAGATTATTATTTGGTGATGATTGACAGGAGTTCATAGTATTTATGAATATTCAACACCCTTAACTTCGTAATGTTCTTCATTGTGAATCATTTTAAGTCGAGATCTTATTTTTGAAAAAGCTCGTTAAAAATTCCTCGATTCTATTTTTCCTTCAAGCTTACTATGCATAAATTTAGGCATGCGTTCGCTGATTAATGATAAAGGTGGGTGTGGATATAAGTGTTGGTGCTAGTGAAGAGAAGACACCAACATCTATACCTTTGCACCGTTGGGAATAGATTTTGAATTTCTCATTCGATTATAAGAGCAGTTTTTCGTTTGTATATTCGTACTTCGTCATGTTGCTAACGAAAAGTGAATCGATTTTTTTCAAAAATCTCTATACATGCTCAGAAAAAACTTTGGATAGAGATTTTGCAGTCTCAGGAGTTATCTACAGAATGTACTATTTAGTTTCCAAAAATGTTGTCTCAATTTGAAGTTTTTTTTTAATACTTAGAACTTCTCTGAACAAAGATCTCTAGCGCTGATTTTTTTTTCAAGGTATCTAGGGTAATTTAGCCTACATGTAACATATAAAAAAGTAGTTCTATGAAAGTATATTATTCCGAGATACACATGTTTTGATTTTATGAAGTCACATTGCTAAGGAATGATTTTGCTCATATATTCTCTAATTGATTTTTTTATAATTTATTCAGACTTGGCCATTGTCGTGCATCATTATTTCTTCATCGCCTTATAGTTATTGATTTATTTATTCTTTTTATTATGACTGCACTATTACTTATATTAATTGCATTTTGTCTTATTTGTTATCGATATAAACAAGTGAAAAGTTATTTGAATAATTTAATTAAATGAGGAAAAAATTTCTAGCAACAAAATACATCTATCGTTAATTAATATAGAGTAACAATCACCAATTACTCCTTTACTTTCATCATTGAACAATGATAGATGTAATAATAATTCTTATCCGATATATGATATTTCATCTATTTAATGAACATCTAGTAGATGAATTTGTATGAAATAAGAAAAAAAAAATTCTTATAGAAAGATGTTTTATTGAAGAAATTCCAAATGAAGTAATGATTAATAAAATGGAACGTTTATTTTTTTTTTTGATCTTTGTTGATGCAAATTTTATTGTTTAGCTTTGAGTTGTTCAGCAAGCGCAATATATTCTTGTCGAGCAGTTTCTTTACTTTTGCCTTTATTAGCATCCCAAGCATCCCATTTGTATTTGCCTTTGAGATCAAACATGCCTGGCTTATCTGTATTGTTATCACCAAAATTTGCTTCTGAAAGAGAAAAATAAAAAATGTATATATTTTTTTTTTGAATTTGTTTTTAAATTTACGTTTAAAAAGACCATAGAGTTTTAATAATTCATCATCAGTTGGTTTTTTGCTTAAATTTTTGACGTCTTCAGCAGCTTTATCAAATTCAGCTTGCGACATGATTAAGAATAAATGCTGTTACAATCTAAAAACACAAGAAAAATTTATATATGGTCCCATACATCTACGTAATTGTGAGGTAGTGTATCATCATTCTAAACAAAGGAAGAAAAAAGATCGGATAATAGAGGTAGGTCATGGTTACGTCTGTATATTTCTGATTCGTTCGTTAGTTGAACTTGATTACATTTTGAGGGACAGGCATGATGTCGCTCTTTGGCGCTTGAGTACAAAAAAAAATCGATGATGAGTTTTTTGTGTACAAACGTCATTTTTTCAAGAACAAGATTTAACTTTGTGTCTGTCGTTTCCATTTTACGTGTAGATTGTGATGCTTGTTTTCACACACATATCCTCACAATTTTTCCTTTTTTTCTATTCGTCATACTATGCAACGCATGTACAGAACAATAGCATCATAATCAATATCATACACAAGACAACTTTACATTTTAGAAAGTTTCAGAAAATAGAGAAAATTTTCGATAGTCTTCTTCATTAAACAAGGAAAGTGAGCACACAATAGCGTTATCAGCATACCAAGAGCAATATTACTAGATGAGTGCTTCATTTGAAAACGCTCCAGAGTTTGGGTCATATCTTTTTTTTTCAAAATTTGCCCAGAGAACTCAATTAATTCATTAGTTATTGATCAATTAGATTTCGATATATGTAGATGGTCCATAGTCTTCTCTCTTGAATGATGAAAATTCCAGGTCTCTATACTATTTCTAGGAAAAGTTATTCAAAAAACAATCAGACCCATTGCTTTTTGAAAATGACATTAGTTTCTCAAGCATTCTAAAATAATCTATTCATCAAAAAGATTCTATTGACATTGACCTTTACAAGTATTCTTTTCTTTTTCTTTTTGTCTAAAATAAAACTATTAAATATACATTGATTTTTCAATTAGATTTCGACATATTGAACATTCTTGTACATGATCATTACAATTTTGACAGACCATGACCACATAAAAAAGATCATATTTTTTAAATGATTCATACATATTGGGCAATGAACTTGTTCACGACTTTCTTCTAATTGTTGTTGTAAATAAGCTAAAGTAACTACATCGTTTATATGATTTGATGAAATCGTTATTGTTTTAAAATTTATTAAAATATGATCATTATTTTCAAAACAAAGTTCATCGTATGATATGATTGAATCAATAGATATTCAACATAGAAAACATTTCTTCATGAGACTAGCACATTCTATTAAATAAATCAATTAATTAATTATAATTTTAAAATTATTTTATTTATTTTCACAAGCAATTAAATGCCCACGTGGTTTATATATCACAGATCCTTTATGTTTAGAACATATTTTACATTGTTCAATGTAAATAAAAATGAAAAGAAATAAAACATGTCAAATATTTTATGTATTAGCAAATATAAGTATCATAAATGAAGATCCATTTCCTGTACAATTTATTATACAATTATATTATGAATTTTCAAATTCAACAGTAATTGAATTACTGATGCGTGAATTATTAAAGTTTACTAAAATAACATTTTTGAAAAAAATTAACAAAAAACTATTTCATTTACCTTTCGTATTAGAAATATTCCAAATTCAAATCGACAACAATTACCAGGTATTATTCATTTTTGGATTGGTAATAGTTGTCATAGATATGCACAAACAACACTTATTATTGATTTTGATTCATAATTTATTTTTTCATAAAATATAACTAATTGTCTAATCAATAATTTTTCTATTAATATTTTTTGTCTTATTTGTTTTTTTTCTAATATCAAATATCCTGAAAGATAAACGAGAGAAAAGTTTTAACTAATAAATAGTAACCATTCATTTATTTATGAAATGAAATATAAGTTAATTGTAACTCTAAATAACGTTGTTTATACTTATTCAAGAAATAATTTTAGGTAAAAAAAAAAAGTAAACGATATTGTCGTGCTGGAAGGTTTTTATGATAGTTTATTAGGTGATACACATCAATATAATACATATAACTTCAATTGTGGTTATATGGAATTGATCTATGACGACAAGATTAAATTAATATTGATAAATAGTATTTAAGAGAGGTTCTATGAGACGATCGAGAATTTTTCTACAGAGGCATAACATGATCAAATTTCAAATTCAAGCTTGACTATGTTCATTCCATAGTCCATGTCAAGAAGCCTATTCATCCAAAACTTTAGATCAAACAAATGCTGTCTTGTGGAGATATGAAGTTTTTAAAAAACAAGCTTATTGCAATTTTCCCAAAACTCGGCCGCGCGTATTTCGCTTCTTTCTCCATCATTTTACAATAGATTTTTTGAGCAAAGTCTCATTTGAAAGAGAAAATAAAACTGAACAAGTTGAAGTACTTTTTCTGTCTAAACAATAGCATTTCTAATTTTTATAGTTTGAAAGGCTTCAAAAAATCCCTAGTTGGAAAAGATGACTATTGAGAGTTTTCAAAAAATTTCCTATAGGAAATTTTGTTGAACTAAAGTTTTATTAGGCTATTTAGTAGAGAATTTATTTCTCTACAATCTATGCACTATTATTTCAATTTTTAAAATGTTTGGAAGGTAACCAAAAATTTGAAATGCTATACATGCCTATGGAAAACTTTGTCTAAATTCGACTGTTTGATCTCAAAAATTCATTTTCCAAAAAAATTCATATCATATTCGGAATCAGCATCAAAAATTGGATCGGATAACATGTATTTCAGTAAAAATAATATTCTGTCAAAAATTTACGGCTAGTCTTCTTCAACTGCTTTTTTCTATGAATTTTCTTAGTATTCCTTCACATGCGAGTTTTTGACAGAAAATTATTTTCACTGAAATACATGTTATCCAACGCAATTTATAATACTGATCTCGAATATGACGCGAGTTTTCCTGGTAAATGAACTTTTGATGGCCAAACAATCAAATTTGGACAAATTTTTCCATAGGCATGGATAGTATTTTGAATTTTTGGTTACCTTCCGACCTTTTAAAAATACAAATAATATGTTATACTGCCAAAAATTTGCAACACTTGACCTTCTCCTCTAAAGAAATTCGCTGTACATATAATATTTGATTTCTGAATTTGAACAGACTTCAAAATCTCAGTTTATTCTAATCAGATGACCTGATCAACCTGAACATAGTCAAATCCAAATGATTATATTTAATGAGAATATTATTTACAACAATAAAGGAAAATAGAGATAATAGTCTTTTGAATGTACCATTGCCATTTTTCGATCAAAAATAATATGCTTCAATTTTGCACAATTTATATGTGTTGTACTTCTTGTAAAATTCTCTGTCACACTTGTCAAATGTTCATATGAAATATAAATCTTGTTCAGAGAAGGTAAACGTGTATTCGAATCGAATAGAAATTGCTCCACGTAGTCGATATGTACGTTGAAACAGTCAAGTTCGACAAGATGAGAAAAGTTAATAATCGAAGATTTTTCTACATGTTTCTCTTTTTGTTCCTTTACATTGGAAATCATCAGACGACTAAGTAATGGAAATGAACGTGAGATTTGAGCAAAAAAATTATGTTCGAATGGATGGAAATCGTCCTTCATACGCAGAACACGAACATTGATGAACATACCACCAGGAAAACTGTGCGTTATATGACACATACGTTCCATATCGAATGAAGATGAATAAACATGACATCGACCTGAATTATAAATTCCATAATCGATATAACAATCAACATGATATCCTCTTTCCGTGAATGTACGTCGAATATCATCAGGTGTTGGGTTAGGTTGTTGTTCGTTAATACTGACATATTCAGTAGCAATATCGAAGTGAAATGTATGTAGACGTGGCATTTGACTGAGTATATAATTATTCAAATAAGTACCATCGATGAAGGAATTTTTCCCACCAACACGGAGAGATAAGGTGAGCTTTTCCAGATGTATCATTCGACGAAGGAGAGGTATCATTAGGCTATCAAATTCATTTGTTCTATGATATGCATGTATGGAAAAACATTTGAGTTGAAGTGGATCAATCTATGAAAAAAGTAAAACACAAGTAAAATATTGTTATTTGTTCAATGATAGATTTAACTAATAGATCAAATAGAAAATTATTGGTTTGAACATATTCTTATACTTTTTGTTTTTTGATGGATGAGCATCAAGGGTTTCGTTTTTGTTTTAACATAGCTCAAAAACAAACTGAAGTATTTTAATAGTTATCCGTATTATTCTCTATCTCAGTGATGTAACTAATTTCATAAAGAAATACGATTTTTATTGAATCATCTTAAGAACTACTGAATGATTTTTTTTAATGAAATAAATGAATAAACCATGACACAGCAACTCAAGAATGTATTAGTGAATACGTCATATCAGCATTTCAAAAACAAATTACTGCAATATTTCTGGATCTTCATTCGTCCGAAATCGATATATTTTTAATAACTGTCTTTAGAGATGATTAATTCAACAGTTCTAGTCGAGACTGAAATAAAAACATTCCTCTCCAATTGAATATAGTTATTTACCATATTATTCATGAGTTTCAATGAATGACGTATAATCTTTTGCGAACGTAACCTGATCTGGACTGGATCATGGATATAATCAAGAATGATAAGCAATGTATGTAATTGGCTAAGACGACCATCAAGTAAATAAAGGCAATCATCAATATTCTGCATTTTGATACGTAAATGAACAATACTAGACGAACAACATGTTGTAGATGGTAAACCAGTTAACAACGATCGAGAGGAAGTATAAGTATCACTGCTATCCATATCCAAATATTTGAGATTTGTAACTAACCCAAAAATACGGTTATAAATATAAGTTAATAATTTCATATTTGATTTCTCCAGAATTTCGTCACTAATCGTTACGACTAGATCTGAGATTTGTTTTAAAACATAAATAAATGGAGACTTCTCTAAAAACAGACAATAAATGCAAAGAATTGTTTTAATTCTTCGATATTAATAGATGAACATACCATTGAAAATGTACAAAGCCATAGTGAACTTGAGATTAATAATAACAAGCTTGCGTAATTGAAGATAATTGGTAGCACGAAGGACACATGGTAAGAAACATGCTTGAAGAGTAAGAGATTCTACTTTATCATGAATTCGAGGTAATATCTCCATACAAAATCGATCAAGTATTGCATGATTTCTTGAATCAGTCACTTGATTTGATTCGATTGTTATTAGATCGACAAGTCGAGTAAAACTAACATCACATACCACTCGATCGAGTTTTTCATTAACACCTACCAATGAATATAGAACATCGAAATTATTGAGTTTCTTCAAAATATAAAGCAAAATTTCGTCAGGTAAATCAACAATGTTAATAATTGACTGATTCATGTTTGTTCTGCTTCATCATTCTTTAAACAGCTAAATATATATAACTGCAGCGTTCAATATACTTAGACGTCAATCACATTGACTTAATTCAAAGTGGATTAAGAAACATGATTGGTGTTTCTATGTAACAACGGCAATTATATTGGTTTATTCACTTTGAATTAAGTCAGTGTGATTCACCTCTTACTCTTGCCTAACAATGGATGAATACATTTTGTTCGTTCATTCATATGGAGAGTTGAAGAGAAAAAAAAGGCTCTCTTGTATATGTGTTGATTGGCAAGGTTGAAATCGAAGAAATGAAAAACATCTTGCGGTTTCGTTCTTCTGTTTATTTACGTTTTGTCATAGAGATTGTGAACGATAGATGTCTGAAGAAACTGTCTATACTCAATTTATGCATATAACAAACAAAGAATGAGACGAATTCTTTTATCTTCATGATAAAAAAAAAAATTGTTGAAAATATTTCACTTGATAACAAAGTGAACAGACGGCCTGTTAAGAGTTGATCATTTGGATTATGAACGTTTAACGGTTGCTTGAAAAGTCATATACGAAATGGATGTTGCAACATGCAGTAATAATCGATTTTTCAAGTGATTAATCGCATGTAGTTTTCAGTGATCGACAGAACAGTAAAGAATTGGATAATTTGTACGTCAAAACGATGAGTGTTTATAAAGATAGAACATTTCGTCACGTATCTTGCTTCTGGCCTTTGTACGTCTCATTTTCAGTATCTTTCACATTCTTTCTTTTGCTCTCTCTTATTCTCTCTGTTTGTTGATGAAAGGCAGTTTGCGAACGAACAATTTGAAGTGTAGTATCTACAAAAATACTTGGTTTTTTTTTTCAATTTGAAAAATTGTATTTTCAAGTATATATATATAAAAAAAAAGGTATGTATAACATGTACATAAATAGAAAACATGTGTCGAAGCGTTCGCTTTTTCTCTCACTCATCGTAGAATTTTACAAGTGTATGCAAATAGAAATAAGTTCTTTGATTAATGACACTATTTCTATAGAGAAAAAAAATCGTCGATCGATATTTAGTACATTTTGGCGTCCTATTAGACAAGAAAAGAACAAGCGAAAACGCAAAATAGTGCATGCATTACACATTTAATTAGAATGTATAAAGGAATGAGATACCTTTGACATATTGTTGTATATAATGAAAAACATGACATGCTTAACGAATAGATGCTTTTCGGAAAAAATATATGAAAATTTTTAACATATAACTTCATATATAAACATGTAGTGCTGATGTAGTAGATATTGAATAAATAAAGTAGCCGAAGATAATCTATAGGAGAGAAAAATACGTGTATTCCGTGGATGAATAAAGAAGTATTGATGTCCTCTGTGGCTTTGTTTTATTGGAAAAAGTACGAAAGAAGTTTGAATATCTAAAATTTAATGAAGAATACGATAGAAATGATTGTATTGAATAGAGCAAAACTGAAAACTATGAATGAAGAACCTAACTAAAAAAAACAAGTATCGATTACTTTTATATCGAGCAGAAAATTCTATTCTTTCATCTGTACTTTGATGGGAATTCAGGCCAAGGCAAGAGGAATGGCTGTTCTCTCAAATAAACATGTTATTGTTTCTTTACCTTTGTTCCATTCAGTAAACCAAATATTGCCAATCACGATTAGACATGTGCAGAATCTAGGTTTTTCCAGTCAGGTCCTAGTCTTGCACATGTCTACTCATTTTACTTTATGTAAAATAATTTTGTGAATCAAATCAGAAAACACAGTTTCTTCATCATTTATTCCAAGTAAACCTGTCTTATCAAAGGATTTATCACAATTATATTCATAAGTGAAAAAAAAGGACTATTGTCTAAAGATGATGAAGTAATGTTCAGTGGACAAGATGAATGCATGTAATCAGACGGCGGTAAAGACATATTTTAGTGTTCATAATGATGAAATTGTTCATTTTTTTAATAAAGGCATGTACATGATTAGGGTGAGGATAGGGTAATTAGAGGAAAAATACCCATATCTTATTTGGGCTTTAGCATCAAACAGACTCATCTAAAGTGAACTCAAACTAATACACTCATGACACATATTCATAGTAGACTTAAAAAAGCCAAAAAAGTTCTAGAGAATAGCTTTGATATATCTTTGGAGTACGTTGAAGTACAGAGGAGTACGAAATTTTCGCTTTTCTTCCTTGTAGTACACCAATGCGTTGATTGAACTTCGAATCTAGATTGTGTACAGTGAGAGTGACATTAATATTAGAAAAAAGTTAGACGAAGAAATATAAATAGGCGAACATGTGTTGAGGATTTGATCGATACTTAGCGTCATTCAGTGGTGTATTTGATCGACCGAAACTTTACATACAATGAGCATTGAATGATTTTTCAAAGATGATCAATTCAGAAACAACTCAAACATTGTTAGCTTCAAATACATTCACTAAAGATCATTTTTTAGAAGATCTCTTACGGTGATTATCATGGATCTAATTAGCAAGTTTTTATATTCGATGTTCTAAATCGTTTTGTGTTACGAGATAGAGCTCTGTTTTTTTTTGAAGTTCATTTATTAAAAAACATGCAATAGCAGGCAAAATTCTAAGAGCAAATACAAATTGACTGTGAAAAAAAATGCGCAAGTAAATGAAGATTCAAATAACATTGAAAGTATATATGTATAAGTTTTCACTGATACTTGAAGCGTGATTGAATAAGGAATGTAATTTATTGAGAAAATACTACATTAAATAGATTCAGTTTTCTTCAATATACCATATAATACTGTTTGATTATATATGAAAAAGTCTTGCAGAGAAATGTTTAAACTGAATTCCATTGATAACATTAATTTTAATTTTAGCTTATTCAAAAATGAAACAAATAAATATGTTAAATACGTTGGTCCAAAGTTATAGGATATTAATGAACACATAAGTCGAATAAGTTTTAATAAAAGTTCAGCAGGCTTGTGTGTCCCTGAAATTGATTGGAGAGAAACTGGAAACGGTTCAAGAATTAAATTATAAGGACAAACAAATTAGTCAATCGTCATTCGATGAATTATAGCATGGTTCTCATTAGGCTTGGCTATTCAACGAATAATAATTTGGTATTGTGAAACATCATCGTTATATAAATAAGCTTGATGCATGCATTAGTTTTATTAGAGTAACATCGAATAATATTGGTGATATGATTATAAAATTAAAATTATTTAAGAATGATGTTACAAATCTAGAAGAAACAAGACTTATATTTGATCGATTGCCAGTTAAATCTATCAATGAGTATGCACAATTACTTGAAGTAGCGTTCAATTTGATTTATCTGATCATAAAGAGTTTTCGAAGAAAAAATAGCACGAACAAATACATCAAAACGTTCTTTTATTTTATTCTATTATCAATTCAAATTCTTTTTTTATTTTTTATTAATTCTCGATTCATCAAGACTATAATGAAAAATGATTAGGATAATTTTGACAGTATTCGTATGAGAATATCATAAAAACAGTTATTAACATCAAATAAATAATTATTAATAATCAATCTAACACTTCGAATTAAATCACGATATAACAACAAAGAGTAATATTCATAGTAACTGTTAGAAAATCGGAATCGCCATCAATGATAATATATTGATTTAAGATTAAGTAAAATTTCATGATGAAAATTTGAATCTTCATAGTTATCATTATGTCCTTTGTCATTATCATTCTTACATTAATACATTCAATACAACTAAAAAAAAGAAATAACTCTGATTACGAGTGTATTTTGAATTCCTGTTATTTTTATATATCATCTAATAAAACTGGATATCAATGCCAAAAAAAATTCATTATTGATTTTATTTTTGAATAAGTCAAATGCATTATTTTACAAAACCAATCAATCCATCGTTTCATACTACTTCCGTATGATATTATATTGATTCGAACCTTCATACAAAACATTATAAACTAACGTTCGTTATTTAATACTTGTTATATTTTGATTATATCGTCATGCGATAAGATAAGACTTAAGTAACTAATAAACGCATGAATACTTTTATCAAAACACGTAAAACGAAACCATTGATTATACATGAATATAGAACAACAGTTTACTTTTATTCGAGAAAAGAGGAACTAAGCTATAAAAATGACAAATTTGTCTTTCTATCGAAATCAACAAGTTGAAGATAAGATTAATAATTGTAAAATTTGTTCAAGAATTGATTTACGAAAATAACAATTAACAGATTCAGATATAGAGATTATTATTAAAGAAGCAATCATTAAAAAACAATGTTCGATGCTCTGGTTAATGGGTAATAATATAACATCACAAGGTATTTTAAATCTAGCTTCAATCTTAAACAATAACACTACATTAGAAAATTTATCTCTTTGTCATAATGGTATTAATGCTACTGATGTATTTCATCTAGCAAAATCTTGCTGAAATGCTTAAATTAAATCATTCATTAACTCAACTTTGGTTAGATTTCAATAAAATCACTGATCATGGAGTACAATTATTGACTGATACACTTGCTTAACATAATAAGACTCTTTCTGTATTATCTCTCTCATAGAATAATCGAGTAACTGATTCAAGTGTTGATTTTTTTATTAATATGTTTGAATATAACCAACCATTAAGAATGATTTGTCTCGCAAATTGTAATTTATCCGAGACAGGTAAATTAAAACTATGAAAAACAACAAATCTACGCAAAGAACATCGATCTGTCTTATTCAATAATTTTATCTTTCGTAATAACAACTTATTGAAAATTTATTTATTTCAAATTAGTAGTTAAAACAAAAAAGAAATTTAAATAATATTCTTATATTCCACTTGGTGCACCACTTTTTCATACATCACTACAAGCCTATAATTAATTTTCTTGTTTTCTCCATTCGATACCTTGTACAATTGGTCCTCCATATACACCACATTGAATATTATGACCAAGTTTTCTCAATTGTTCTAGAATTGTCTAAATAAAAATACAAAATAAATATTTAATTAAATATTAAACTTTGATTTACTTGATTAAAACCACGTTCAGCTAAAACTTCTTCTGGTAATAATTTGTGAATGTAATCTTGGAGCATCAATTGCTTGTTTAATATCTTTTCTAAACCATTAGTTAAGCATAGCTACTTGAGCAGTAGCTGTCGTTATTTTTGTTCTACCACTAGCACCTAAAACTTGTAATACACGTTGATTATTTTGATCAAACATAATTAAAGGTGCCATTGACGAAGTTGGTCGTTTGCCAGGTGCAATATAATTAGCTGAACTAGCAGGAACACCAAAAAAATTTGTTGTATTTGGTGTAGAAAAATCATCCATTTGATTATTATAAATAATACCTGTTTCAGTATCAAGTACCATTGAACCAAAACTAGAATATAATTAATTAAATTTTTATTTGAATTCAAATTTACAAACGTTTACTATAGTTTGATAGTTGATGTCATTGCAACAGCATCACCATTATGTCCAATGACTGATAAATGAGATGTACCAGTTTTGACTTTATCAAGCCATGTTCCTCCATAATATTGAAATCCGTACGTTTTAGAATCACTTAATAAATAAAAAAACGAATAGAAATTGTACTATAATTAAAATAGAACACTTACTCAATACGTTGTCTTATACGCTCAGCATAGTTTATCGATATCAGATTTTGAATGAGCTTAAAGAATAAGCAAATATGATCGTACAGAATAATGAAAGATTGGCTTGTTTTTCTTCTTCAAATTTATCTCGCATAGTAACTTCCTGATGTGCTAAAATGTTTTCAACCTCATTTTTTATTTTTAATTGATTTTCTCAGTAGGACTATGATCTTCTAGTAAAATCATATATTCGTATTTCAATCAAAAATCTTTGCACAAAAATCAGATTCAATAAAACTAATTTGCACAAAAATGTTTCACAAATATTGAATATTGCAGCTGAAAAGTATGTAGGTTTTCAAAATCTATGTTTTATAGATAAGTCCCTATATTTTTTGATCGAAATACGAAAGTACCATTGTATTGAAGAATTGAGATCCTATTGGGAAAATTCAATATCTCATCTAAATAGCAATCTGTGTCAATATTTCTTAAGACTTTCATAGTCTTATGGTACTCTCAGTAATGCACAAAAAATTCCAGTTGAAAACTTTTAAACATTTATAAAGATTCTATTGTCAGTACAAAAGTTTCTTTTTTTTCTGAGAATTTATGAATAATTGAGAAGCTAATGTTCAATTGTAGCTGATTTAAATCTCAAATACACGTATTACTTTGAAATCTTTTCTCAAATATATTATTTTAATGAGTATAAACAATCAATTCATCATTTTCGATTATCAACATACATTTGTAATATTAACTTTTAGTGGATCGGCAAGTTCACTTCTTTTAGCATAAGCAAATTTAAATGCTTCAATAAGACGATGATAAAATAAAGTTGTAGTTGTTGGATTTTCTAAATCATTTGGATTAAAACCATAACCTTAATAAAATTAAAATAAAATAATAAAAAAAAAAAGAGATATTCAAATGAAGGGTGTGGGTGTGTGGATGTGGGTGGGTGTGGGTGTGGGTGGGTGAGGGTCTGAGTGTGTGCGGGTGTGGGTAGCTATGAGTCGTAGAAACACCCACACCCACACCCACACCCACCCACACCCACCCACACCCACACCCACACCCACACCCCCACATCCACACCCACACCCACACCCACCAACACCCACACCCACCCACACCCACACCCACATCCACACCACACCCAGCCACCCACACCCACACCCACACCCACCCACACACACCCACACCCCGCATCATGCAACGCTTCTTTTTTTATTATTTCGATTTCTTTCGTATTCTATTATTTCAATCATCCAGATCTTATCTTCTACCGTTGTTTTTTAGACATTTGTTTCGAGATGTCTTCCTGAAAAGAAGGCCAATGATATTAGATCCGGCAATCGAAGAGTCTCTGATATTGCTCTACCTTTTTCAATCCACCTGTCGTGAAAGTTTTTGTTGAGCTGATCACGGACTACTTTTGAAAAGTGTGCTGATAGCTGCATCCTTCCAATAAATTATATTTTCTGTAATTCACTCAACAATAGAAGCTGTTTTTTCATTCAAACTAATAAGGGTATGGGTGTAGTTGTAGGTGCCGACCTGTATGAAGACAATGACCTCACTGACACTCTTATACAATGTCGTAGGTAATGTATTCTGTGAGTGCAGTTCGAAATGAGTTGCACGTATGTTTCGAACAACGTGATCAATTCTCTAAAGGCTTGTGATCGATGAATGAAACCCTAATAATTTACTATTCATCTTTTCTCCCACAATCTATAAGAAGCCTGATAGAATGCAGTGTCACCTCGTTTTAATTACGACGTAATGTTACTTTCAAACTGAATAAAACATAGAGGAATCAACGATGCAGTGTTATTGTTTTGTTTTCATCGTCAGAGAGAATACAACGGCATACAACTATGTTTAGGGTAAAAGTAGAACCGATCAAACTACATAACCAGTCATCACATCTTCGGAAGCATATCCGACGAAAAGTAAATTGATATACATCATCTTCAAGTTACACATTTTCTACTTAAGGTTCATGTGAAGCGTGTGAATCCTATTACATCGCAACCGAAGCATTCAGCACAACCGAATGATGCTCCAAGTCAGGTAGGTGCTGGAAATGTTGCAATAATGAGCTGACAGAATAGTGATGTTGCTAACCACAACAATGATATGCTTTTGGCTATGTCAAATGTCCAGTTGTATCGATTTGTTTTTGTGCATGTCTTTTCATAGCAATCAGTCCAGGACACATGACTACATAAAAAGATGAAGTATAGATTAGCCGCGCTCTATAAGAGAAAGACATCTCGATCATTCGTTATAAGTCATGTAAATAAAGTGCAGAGCGTACAAAACGAAGAAGGAAGCAGTCAAAGTCTGTTATATCTTACATCCACATAGGAGCTCTCTTTAACAACATAGATTTGGATCGATTGTTGTCATTTTCACTAGTAATGAAAAAGACACACATTCACAATGCAACTAATGAAACAAAAACACTGTTTTCTCCTGCCAACAATAAAAAAAAACAATTTTTTCGATTGTCATTTCTTAGCATTCATACACCCTTGATCGTTACAAATTCGTAATCACTCTACATTGCTTATTTCTTTCAAAATTTGATTTTTCTTTTCTTTTCATTTGACGCCAATTCGGCGAAAATGATGTCTGCTATTTCGAACGATAGTAATACGCTCCCCATGAAATTAAAAAAAGTGGAGGAAGGGCAGCGAAGAATCAGTCGAGCTTTTCAAACTTTTCGTTCTGCCGCAAAGCTTCAGGATATGGCCGTGTTTTGCTGCAGAAACTCAAGCTGTTCTAAAGCGAGGAAGCCGAACAATTTCCTATTGAAGCAATCTTGGATGATGATACTATGGAGGTTCAATAAAATAGAAATTGGTACGATAAATTGTTACTCCTGAATGCAAAGTGACTCAAATGGGTGTGGCATACATAAAACAAATAGCTGCAGAGTAAAAGAATGAGGTTTCGATGTTATTTGTTTAGAGCAAATAAACTGATTATGCAGTCAGTAGGTCGTTCTTTTAATCATTTATTTATTGAGGGTGCAGGTAAATGTGAATTGAGAGAAGTCACTCACCTACTTATGCCAATCTTCCTGCACTCTTACATCTGGTCACCCTGAAAAACATTAATTTGAGAGAATTATGCGTATGTAAGCATTGATCCAGTCATCTTCTCTATCGATTCTAGCAAAGTTGACCCATAAAAATGTATAACGATATCTTGTTTTGCCTGTCAGCTATACTATGATGGCACAGATAACTTATTTGGATATTAGACTTTACGAAGTATCAGTAATCTTTTCAAAATACCATTTTATACATTCTAAAATTTCGGTCTTGTTGATTCTGTTATGTCTGTGTGATGATATTACCCTCTTGAAATACAATAACGTGAGAATTCAATAACTTTATAGTAATCCTCCGCTGATAACATCGGGTGTTTTTCTAATTTAAAACCTCACATGGAGAACAAAGCATCATGACACTGGGATCAGCTCGTCAAGCTTTACAAGCTAGGATAGTGTTGGTTCTAAACCGTGATTGTTACTTGGGAATCTTCTATCATTAGTATCGATTTCACTATTTGTCATCATATTACTCAACACATAATTTTCTTACGCTCTAGTAGGGGTGGACCATTAACATTAATCTTAAATTAATGTTAATATTTTTCATTAACATTAATATTAATGTTAATGTTTTTCATTAATCATTAATATTAACGGTTAATGTTTTCCTTTAAAAACTTAATTCATTAATATTAATGATTAATGTTTTCTTGAAAAAACTTAATTCATTAATATTAATGTTAATGTTTTCATTAATATTA